TTGTCAGATTCTTTTCCATTATAGGTTATTACAAGATATTGAATATAGTTTCCTGTGCTATACAGTAGACCTCTGTTATCTATTTTATATATAGTAACATGTATCTGTTGATCCCAAATTTCCAATTTATCCCTTCCCCTGCTTTCCTCTTTGGTAACCATAAGTTTGTTTTCTATGTCTGTGAGTCTATTTCTGTTTTGTAAATAAGTTCATCTGTGTTATTTTTTAAGATTCCACATATAAGTGATATCATATGATATTTGTCTTTGTCTGACTTACTTCACTTAGTATGATAATCTCAAGGTCCATCCATGTTGCTGCAAATGACATTATTTCATTCTTTTTTATGGTGAAATAATAGTCCATTGTATATGTATAACACATCTTCTTTATCCATTCATCTGTCAGTGGACCAAGATTCTTTTATGTATTGTGATATTAATACTTCCAATGAATATTTATCATTTATTTATTTTTCTTACAGAAGCACATTTGAACACGTTTTAGCTATTTTGGAGCAACTAGGGCTTCCATGCAGTCATTTGCTAAGGAGAAATGATACTATGAATTCTTTAAAGAATGAGAACTTTTGGGCTTCCCTGGTGGCGCAGTGGTTGAGAGTCCGCCTGCCGATGCAAGGGACATGGGTTCGTGCCCTGGTCTGTGAGGATCCCACATGCCACGGAGTGGCTGGGCCCGTGAGCCTGCGCATCCGGAGCCTGTGCTCCGCAACTGGAGAGGCCACAACAGTGAGAGGCCCGCGTACCGCAAAAAAAAAAAAAAAAAAAAAAAGAATGAGACCTTTGACCTGGTGATAGTGGAAATTTTTGACTACTGGCCTTTCTTGCTTGCTGAGAAGCTTGGAAAGCCAGCCCCCTGTCTTATGTGCCAGTATTCTATTCCTTGTTAACGGACCACATGGACTAATGGGGCTGAGTAAAGAATTCCCTGATGTTCTTTGATGTTCCTGATGTTCTTTGGCCCTTCATTCTTTTCTATCCCAGGCCTGATGTCTGCAGCCATCAAAGTCACAGTGACCTACTGCTTTTGGTCTTGAACAAGGTCACCACAAAATAATCCTAAACCATCTGTGAGCTCTGAGAACGCATACCAGGGGGCACATTGCCACTGTATTCAGTGCTTTATGTGTACATGTTCACCCATGTTCCCTTACACACTTACATACACACAGACACACACACATATCTTCCTTAGCTACTAAGGTGTGAGCAACTCATACATTCACGATACTGATGCCAATGTACCTGAGAGCCAAGCAGAGCAACCTCCTGGCCAGTTATTTGGTGCACTGAGTCTCTGACACCAGAGAATTTTCTCACCCACAACAGGTTATCTCTGTGCCTAGTGCTGCTTCTTAGAGACCCCTCACTGCCATAGCCACTGACTGGATCAGAGGCTCATAACCAAGACTATGACAAAATAATCTGTAGAATTTTAAAAACATTCCTGTTTCCACATCTGCAAATGTATTTCTTTAAGTCTTCGACATGGCATATGATTCTCATTTCAAAGAAGAAACAAGGAGGTTCTTATGCACATCCCAGTTGGCCAACACAGGCTGAGATGAACTCTTCATTATCAACAATCACCTTAGTTAGCTCTGAGTAAGCAAAGGCTAGCAAATACTGATGTGCAGAGTCCAGTCTTTGCTTTCAAGTGATTTCTCATATATTTAAAGAGAACAACACATACAGTGTAAGTTTTATGAGTGCTACATGAGTTGTGATGTCAATGAATGTGTCAGGAATTCAGAGAAGAGGGATATTATTTGGTGGGTGAGAAAAGTTTGCTCAAGGAAAGGAAGAGACAGAGACAGAGATAGACATAGGGAAACACAAAGAGAAAACAGATGAGAGAAGCAAAGAGACATGAGGGGATAGAGAGAAGGAATGGAATGATGGAATGGATAGATGGAATGATGGATGGATGGATGGATGGATGGGTGGATGGATGGATGGAGATATCTGCCTTGCTTAGCACTATTCTCTACAGAATTCCCTGGGTTCTGGCTGAGTCTTCCCTGGGTTCTGGCTGAGTCAAGGAGTCTCTATACAAAGGCAAGGCTTGGAATCCTTGGGTGTGTAGCAAGCAAAGTCATCTTCACAATGGCTCCAACACACTTTAAGTCCCATTGGTATTTTCTTCTGCCTTTTCTGCTTTCCTTGTTCTGAAACTTTTCATCCTGAAATGTTCTGCTGCCTTTGTTATTTGCAACAGGGCACCCTCACGTCCACCTTTTTGTCACTCATGGTGGGATAAATAGTGTCATGGAGGCCATCCAACATGGCCTGCCCATGGTGGAGATTCCCCTCTTTGGAGACCAGCCTGAAAACCTGCTCCGAGTAGATGCCAAAAATTTCGGTGTCTCCATCCAGTTAAAGCAGATCAAGGCTGAGACATTGGCTCTGAACATGAAGCAAGTCATAGAGGACAAGAGGTGTGCAGCCCTCTGGGCTTGTGGTTACTCACACTGAATGAAGATGTAAACCACAACGGGCACCGTGTGGGTCTTTTTTGCAATAAAACTGAAATTTCCAGGATGTGAAATAATATGTGTGTGATGCTAACAGCTGACTTATTTCCTATGAGAGGACGACTAGAACAGTTTAGGTTAGATGCTGAGAATGATTTTATACCCTCTAGTTGTGAGGAGCCCGAACTACTGACACAGGGTGTCTTTGAGAGGTCTTCTACTTTGGAGGTGCTTATAGTAGAATTCCAACTGAGGCAGGAGGTTGCCTTTCTGTTCCCAATATCCCACACTGCTCCCCACCTCAGCCGTTTTGACTGTGCTGCTCCCTAGAAAACACATTCCCTTCTCTTCACAGGGTTGGCTCCTTCATGACATCGAGGCCTCATCCCAATGCCACCTGCTCAGAGAGACCGTCTTTCTCTGATAGTCCCAAAGCCTTCTCTCCTATCCACCCCAATTATAGCATATTATTTTTTTCTTAGCACGTCACAGGATCTGTAATTGCCCATTTCTTTATGTTTTAATATATTGGCTGTCCCCCACACTAAAAAGTAGAGAGTAAGCTCACCCAGGACAACAGCGCGTGTCTCCTGTTTTCTGCTATGTTCCCAGGGTTCAGCACAGGGCTTGCCACAAAGTAAGTTTGAATGGATTCCTGTTAAGTGAGTAAATACAAAGGGGCCCATTGACCTCGTAAGAAATTTTCCAACCAGCACAGTAATCTCATGTGAAGAAGAAAAATATATTTTCTTTCTTATAATGAAGAAGGACTAAAAAACTTAGAGCTTCAAGAGCACAAACCCGAATCATATCTCAAGACTTAGCATTACTGCACAACGTTGTGGCACATAGGAGACCTGCAAGTAATTCTTGTTAGGTGACTGAATAATAACCACATTGCATGTGACTCCTAACCCCAGAAAAGTTGTTAAGCTCTGGGGGTCAGATAACCCAGAAACTTTATGCATATTTGGTATCTCACATGTTTAAAATACTCATTTTCTGATGAATGGCTTCATAACTTTCACTGGATTTTCAAAGACCTAAACCCCAAATGTGCAGGATCTACTGGCCCTGTGAAGGAGTCATCTGGGCTGGGATGGTCCACAGATATTGGACATCAGGGCTGGCTACATAATTCATGTGCCTTTATGTGAAATGTGGAGACCCTTGTCATAAAGTTTAAGGATTTCAAGAGGGTGACAGCAGAGAATTAAATCAAGCACAGGCCCATTTAAGGGTGGGGCTCTGTGCAAATATGCAGGCTCATAGCCCATGAAGCCAGTGCTGGTCAACATGATGCTTGAAGGAACAGGAAAACACAGATGTCTTCCTGGGCTACAGTCCCCAGAGTCACATTTGTTATCTAGCCCAGACACCAGCACAAAGTAGATGCTCAATAAATATAATGGTTTCCTGTAGTATATCTTAAGCCTCCTTGGGGTAGAGATTAGTCCTTACAGACTTTGTCACTTTTTTTTATAGTTTAGCACTTCCAGCACCAAGCATGGATCTTTGCATGCAAATATCAGTTTGAACTTTATTTTAAAAAAATTCTTATTTATTTATTTATTTTTGCTGTGTTGGGTCTTCGTTTCGGTGCGAGGGCTTTCTCTAGTTGTGGAAAGCGGGGGCCACTCTTCATCGCGGTGCGTGGGCCTCTCACTATCGCGGCCTCTCTTGTTGTGGAGCACAGGCTCCAGATGCGCAGGCTCAGTAGTTGTGGCTCACGGGCCTAGTTGCTCCACGGCATGTGGGATCCTCTCAGACCAGGGCTCGAACCCGTGTCCCCTGCATTAGCAGGCGGATTCTCAACCACTTCGCCACCAGGGAAGCCCAGTTTGGACTTTTTAAAGGGACCCAACTAGACCATAGCAAGGCCAAGCCAACAACTTTTCCTTGAAAGAGAATCTTTTGTGCATAATTTGGAAAATGTGTGTGTGTGTGTGTGTGTGTGTGTGTGTGTGTGTGTGTGAGAGAGAGAGAGAGAGAGAGAGAGAGAGAGATGCAAGGTCTCTAAGACTTCTGAGACCACTTGAGTAACACCTCCATCTGTCTCTGTCAATAGGCAGAAATCTGCCATGGTCGACACCAGCATCATGAAGCGCTCCCACCCCCTGATCCCCAGCCAGCGGCTGGTGGGCTGGATCAACCACATCTTGCAGACAGGGGGTGCGGCTCACCTCAAGCCCCACACCTTCCAGCAGCCGTGGTGGCATGAGCAGTACCTGCTGGACCCCTTCTCGTTCCTGCTGGCAGTCACCCTGGGCACCGCGTGGCTGTGTGGGCAGCTGCTGCGCCTGGTGGCCAGGTGCTGTGTGGGACCAGGAAGCTGAAGAAGGCCTGAGGCCAAGTGGAGCCTTGGAAGGTGGTGTGTTTGGGCAGAGTCAGCATTTCTTGGCATCTCCCACCAGTTTTGTCAACCCTCATTCTCCACATCCTATCCACTTGCTATTTTGCTACAAATTCCTGCTGACTGGCTTCTTCCTATTGTTGACTTAAAAAAATATATGCACAATGTGAGAGTTGCGAGTTAAGTTTTATTTGGGGCAAAATGAGGACTGTATCCTGGGAGACAGCATTTCAGATAACTCTGAGAAACTGCTCCGAGGCAGCGAGGGGAGGTGCCAGGATATTTAGGAGTTTTGCAACAAAGAGCAGGTAATTGGGAACATCAGAAGATTGTTGTTAAATAAAGAAAACCGGATATCTCAAGTTAAGGAATTTAGCACTTTTTCTGTGTATGGGAAGATGCAAGAGTCTGGGCTCATCGAAATCATTCCTTTGATAATGCACCTTAGCTGTCTGGGGCCTGTATGTTTACATCCTGAGTTTCCTCAGGCCTCACTGCAGGGAGTGGCTGCAGTCTGAGGACTGCTAGATGGCAGGTATTTTCAGTCCTGAGTTTCCTCAGGGCTCACCAGCTCACCGTGGAGGGCTGCAATCATTGGTGACTGTGACATCCTTTGTTTATTGATATGGCAGGAAATATTCCATGTATAAATACTCCATTCCATTTATAAATAGTCCATTTATCACCATGATTAGAATACTTTACTGAGCCCTTGTGGCCTTCTTTATTTTCAGTCAGCAAAGGCTGTTCTATGATTCCGTCCCTGGATAATTTGGACCAGTGCCCCTCAGATCTGAAGCTTTGAAGCCACCTTCCTTATCACGCCCTTCTTCACGGCACTGAGCCTGAACCATTCCAGCCTCCATGCCCAGCATCTTCTCAGCCTCCTTCCCTCACTCCACTCCACCATTTATCATGGAATAACCCCTAAGGCAGGCACTTTGCTGATTCTTTTGTTTTCTATTTGCTTCTCCTGCAAACTCTTGTCAAAGCTCAGGAAGCCTGTCGGGGCAGGCATTCAGTGCCAGACACACCCTTGCCTGTGTCCATGGTCTCTGCCTTGGTTTCTGCTGAACACTCCTTTGCAGATCGGGTGTGGAGACTGCAGGTTGGTCATGGGCTGAAATGTCCCTGGTCTCCACTTTTCATAGCTGTGAGCTGTCTTCTCAATATTCCTATTAAAAAAAATGAAGTCATGAGAAAGAAGATAATTTCTTCTTTAAACTAAGAAGAGCCTCTCCATAGCTGAGCCTTTCTGTACTTGACATACTGTTGGGAATCGCATTCACCTGATAGTAACAGAAACCAGAAAAAAGTGACGGGAACAGCTTAGGGTTTTCTTTTCTTTTCTTTCTTCTTTTTCTCGTGTAAAAGAAATATGTATTGGAATTCCCTGGTGGTCCAGTGGTTAGGACTCTGTGCTTTCACTGCTGAGGTCATGGGTTCAATCCCTGGTCAGGGAACTAAGATCCCACAAGCCATGCAGCATGGCCAAAAAAAAAAAAAAAGTGTAGGTAGGCAGGCCGTCCAGGGCTGATGTGGCAGCTGCATGATGTAATCAATAGTCCGGATTTCTCATGTGGTTGCTCTGCCTGCCTTAGTGGGTGGCTTCATCCTCAAGGTCACCCTGATTTTCAAGGTGGTCATTTTAGATCCAGTCAGCACATTGGAATTTCAGGCAAGAAAAGGGAAACTTAAGGAAAGGGCGTAAAGCAGGTTCATACCAGCTGAGTTAGCTTCTTTAAAGAGGTTTCCCAGACACCGCAGCCACCCAAAGACTTCCAGTGAAATCTCATAGACAGACCTGAGTCATGTGACCATTCCTAGCTGCATAAAATGTCTAAGAAGTGTCCTCCAGCCCCGACTTCCCTGCTGGGTACATTACTACTCCAAGTAATTGGGGGATGGGGGAGGTGGTGAAGAGGTGTTAGAAAGAAAAAAAAGGACAGTGGATAATGGGAGGAAAGTAGAGCCTCGGTCACATGTGGAAGGCAGCAGGGAGGGGCTGGATTGGATGTTACGTTTCACCTGTGACCTGGTGACTCAGTGGCCTCAGGGACAGTCTTATACCCACTGTAACTGCCTGTGGGTGGAAAGCAGACCTTTCCGAGTAGTGAACATTCAAAATAAGAACAGAAATCTTTTACCAATGTGACATGTGTTATGCTTTCCAAGTTCTTTCATCTCCTTTCTGCCATTTAACGGGATACATGTGTCTAATCCATTCAACCAGAAAGAAGCAGGTACCACCGGGGCAACCACAGAGAGAGAGGAGAGCCATTGTGCAAATTAAGACAACAGCAATAAAACTTGTCCCCATGATGGATGCCTCCTCCCGCCAGAGCACAGGGCTTGGAGAGTGGATGGGCTGATTTTAGCCCCACTGGCCCCTCTTGTGAGCACCTCTTTGCCATGAATAATCTGCCCTACCACAGGGTGGTCCTGGCTGGTGTATCCCTCCCACCCAGGGTGATTCCATGCACATGTATGCAGAAGGCGCTTGAATCCGCTAAGGAATTCTCTTGGGAAATTTTGTGAGTTTTTTTTTTTTTTGCCCCTAAGATCCAGGAAGCTTCCTTTCTCCGTGCTGGGCTTTAAATTAGTTAATCATTTATTTTTTATTTTTTATAAGTCCTTAAATGCAATGTTCCAAATTTAGAGACACACATCTGTCAGAGTGGATTTTAAACAAATTTCATCTCAAGGTAACTGTAAGTAATAATTAGATAACACTTGCACTGGTGATTCAGTCCCTCGGTTTTTTTTTTTTTCCTGATTTAAAAATCCAAGATGGTACAGATGAACCGGTTTGCAGGGCAGAAATAGAGAACAAACACATGGACAAAGTGGCGGGGAGCGGGGGTGGTGGTGTGATGAATTGGGAGATTGGGATTGACATGTCTACACTAATATGTATAAAATAGATTACTAATAAGAACCTGCCGTATAAAAAAATAAATAAAATTAAATTAAAACAAAAAAATCCGAGATGAATTTCGAGAGATCTTTTTGTGTTAGAACATGTACAAAGAAAGGGAGGTTCCACAAACAAGGGCTGTGGACACCTCCTGGTGGCAGGACCCCCTCCCTTGACGGTAGATGAGACCCTCGAGAACAATGGCACCTGGTGACAACTCTTCCTTTCTCACTTGTGTTACTGAGAGCTGAGCTGCGTCTGTCCTCTAACTGATTTTACAAATGAGTAAACCTATAAAACATAGCAGAAAAGTGAGCCAGAGCTTAAGACCAAATAATAGTTCATTTCATTTCACTCCTTCCCCTTTTTAAAATTTATCTCATGGAATTTTATTGAGCTAAGGCTTGCTATTCCATCTTCCTTTAGTGACCATTTACGAGCTTCATATCATCTCAGATGAGAGTTACTATTACTAGAAAGTCAACTGCAAGCAGTAGCAGGAAGCCTCAGTAGAGCAGCTTAAGCCAGTAGCCTTCAAGCTGGGCTACCTTCACCATAATGTGTACATGAAGATTTCCCAAGGGCTACGTGACACAGAGTTTGGAAGTGGTAAATTTCCACCTTTGTTGACTCTAGTTTCCTAAAACTGGTCTGCCTGAGAAGGTGTTGTGTTTGGTTGGCAGATCCTCTGTCCTGCCACACTTTTCACAATTCCCTGACTCTTATTTTACAGAAGAAATGGACACCCTTCACCCACCCCCATTCTCCGCATGGTACATTGCCCCAGGGTGGAAAAGTAGGGGTACCAAATGAACAATTCACAATCTAATGACTGAGCCAGAAAGTGTTTATAATTCAGATGATTTGTAATTCTTTGTTTTTAACAAAATCCAAAGGTGAATTGTGATTTTTCAGCTGACCTTTAAAAGTAACTTTTGATGGTAGACTGCTGTGAGAATAGCATATTCACGTGGCATGTTATTCTGAAGGTGTTCAAAGAATGAAGGTACATCATTTTCAAGGTGGTTCATAACAAAACTCTTAGTGCTCCTGCTACTTATTTATGTGAATAGTTTTTCAGTGTTTATGTAACTAAGAGATATTGATCCAAAACTGTCTCATTTCAGAAGTAGATAATGTTTATCTACAGACATATAAATTAATTTTAAAAGAATTGAAAAAACAGCCCCTCATCTCATTGTGAGATATGTCTCCAATAAAATTTTATAGTTTGTGTTAGGTGACTATATGTTTTGAAATATGAAATATGTTTATGTAGCTTTGACCAATTTAATGCCAGTATTAAAACAAAGAATGATAATTTAGTACAAATATTGGGCTCTTAGAGGCTTATTTTTATAGGAATTATAAATATTAATTTGAATATGTATTTTTGATGCTTAAGACTATGAGAGAATACTCTATACAATTCTTTTAAGCATAAAGATACATAGACTAGAAATAAATTCTCTGGGGAAAGTGGAAAATAAATAAAAATTCAAGAAGAAAATGGAATGATGCAAAATTTCCCAGTGAAAATGAGCAGTTCATTATCTATGTTAAGAATGAATTAAAAAAAAAAAGAATGAATGGTGGCATCAAACTGCTGAGGTGTTTACAACCCACTGCATACATTTAACAGAGTGATGCAACTGTTTATTTTTAAATCATATAATTGCAATGACTGGAAATGACATCCTATTTAATTATTAAAACTTATGATGAGACATCTTAGATTTCAATTAAAAAATTTATTCTTACAATGTATTCTGTTAGGTATAGTTGAGAAGATCTCATTTTTTTGTCATTGGCTTACACAAAAAGAGGGTTATTTTTCCTACATGAGAAGTAGATGGGAAGGAAGTAGACAACTGATGGCATTGGTTCAATAGCTCTACAATGTCAGGAAGAGCATGTTTATAATTCTCCCTTTTTAACTCATGGTTGCAGGATGGCTGCCCAGCTCCAGATATCATGTCCATGTCCCAAGGAGGACAAAAAAGGAGAAGGGGCAATATGAGCTAGCAAACGTTTTCACAGAAGTATCTTTCCTCCTCCCCTTGCCAAGAGGCTTCTTTCCTCTTGCCTAGAATTCTTTCACCGGACGACTCAAGGCTGTAAGAGGAGCCATGAAAACTCTCTGCATTGGCAGCTGGTGAGGACTAAAAGACCTGTAAAGGTGTTGGGTTCACCAACCTGTAGTGTTTGATGCACATGGCAAAGGGCCAAAAAACCCTCCACAATGCTTGACTCATCGAAGAAGAATTTTCTGTG